TTTTTTTTACGGTAGACTTTCCGCTGGAAATGCCCATGTATATGTATGCACATAAAATAAATAATATGCAATATAAAATGGAAATTGAAGAAGGATTCAGCATTCCGCCAAAAGTTGACGCTTTTCTGGACAAGATTTGGTTTCGATAGCAAAAGTCCTGTTTGTCTCAGCTCAGCTTTTATGTAGGTAAAAGTAAGGGTTTCAATGCAAATACATGGCATGCACCTAATACAGTATACAGGTATTGTAAATGTTTTCTCGATTTGTCATTTTTAAAAGCAAGAAATAGGAATTTCATTAAAAATAAAATAAATATGTATCTTTCTTTTTTCCAAAATTAATAAAATTTAGTATGTGGAGCCTAAAAAATTGTGTAGGATGTGGGCACAAGAAACTCTTTATTATCTTCCCAATTCGACATTTTTGGCATCAACGAGCAGGGTACACCGAATCGAAAAATATTTTTTTCTAAATTGGTGCCTATTTTTCTAGAAATAGTGGGCGATAATTTAAATCGATTTTGACGTTCTTATACTCTGAACTGCATAAAAATCGGTTCCACACCTTGGGAGCGATTTCAAAGGTTAGACTTATTTTTGGCGCCAACAAAAGCCAGTCTAAGAAACTGTATAGTGAAGATGGCAAGAAAGTGACTAAAATCCTTCACGACTAAAAGGATTACTATTAAAACTATAATGCACGAGGTTCCAAAAAAAAAATTGACATATAACTTTTCATGAAAGAACAACAATTCTAATATTTTTACAATTGTATGTATCTAAATGATAATTTCTAAAAATAAATTAATGTAAATGGGTTGGGCTTTTTTCTTTTGAAGTACTTAACGAACACGTAAATTTTTCACACAAAAAATGTTGAGGCCTAAGTACACAAATGTTTTACATTTTCATACATATTTACATGAGACATCAAAATCTTGTAAGCAGCAACAGCACTATGTTCTAACTTGTGCATATGTACATATTTGATATTCTTTACTTCTGCCAATAAACGATCGCCTTTAAGAGGCCTCTTTTGACCCTTTCCCATCCTCTTCTCCATTTAGAAAATTGAAAAATCAAAATTAAAAATATGGGCCAGTGTTGTTGCTGCCTTTCCCGCATAAATACCATATCGAGCACATAAAGTTCGATTCTCTTTCATTGATATTTTGTGATGATTTTATATCATACATATGACATCACTTTTAGTTAGTTTTTATTATTTATATTCTCACTCAAATACATTTTTTAATTTGTACATAATCAGAGCAAAGGTATGCTTACTAGGCTGGGTCGCGAAATAAAAGCTTATTTCAAGTGCCTTTTGGCAACTCAACAATATTCGCCCTAGACCTGCACTAAAACAGACCTCAAAACTAGTTTGACAAAGGATTGACGAAAATTCGTTTTCGGATATCAATTTAATATTGACATTAGAGTTATGATGAGACACTGTTTTGTATGTTTTAAGTGCGTGACTGGTGCGGACATTTTTATGACGCCCAAATTTTCGTTAAGTAAACTTTATTCTTCCGTACGGCAACCGACCCGGCCTAATGCTTACTTTTACAAACGATAGCCTGCTCGCGTGCTAAAGATCTTTTAATTGTAAGTTTGATCTACATACTTATACATAATACACTACATACTTATATAGTACAAAGCTATTTTTTTTTGTTTTAAGTAAAAGTAATTGTATGAATGAGAGTGCAAAATTTCCTACTCCGCCACCAATGATTCGCTTATTTAGCGTTTGCAACAAATATGTAAGAAGCATGGTCCAGTAAGATCCATGTTACCAGCCTTGCATTCTTCTGTTGTACAACCTTGTAATAAAAAAAAAAAAAAAACCTATAATTGCCTGCCACAGTCATCGAAGAGTCTAGCTTTGCATACCCCTTTGATATTGAAAAGTTCGCTCAAGAAAACTATCCTCTGAAGTTCAAGCGTGCTATCATACAGAACTGCCACGCCCATGCAAATAAATGCACATTCTGTAAGCAACTACAAGGCCAATGTTAATTGCTCGCCTAATAGCGCCCGATGCGTCACATCCCTGGATTATGCGCTGCAGCAATTCGCATTTATGTAGTTTCCTTAGACTGTACTCAGTAGTGCCGAATGTATGTAAATATATAAGAATTTGCTATAAAACTTCTACTTTAATTTTGGTTACTAAATCCGTACCGCAATCGAATCATTTTTAACTTTCAGTCACCAGATACGCAGGCCTGGCAAAACGATTATCTCCAAGGTACCGGGTGTGAGATGTACACCGAAACCCTCTCACCTTCATTTACCGGCATGACATTCCCACAAGCCAGCGAGTAAGACCCGAAGCAAGCGAATTATCTACTTTGCGTTTTTAGTTTGGTTTTTTAACTACTTACTTTAGAATAATTACACCTTTTTACTACAAAAAAAAAAATATATAAAAAGTAACTGCTTTTTGCTTAGAATTAACTAGAGACGATATAAACATATAATTTAAATATAAAAAAAAAAATAATAAATACTAAAACCACAAGTGAAATGCATCAGCTGAAAGAGAGTGAAAATATTTTTCTATAAACATCTAATTTTTCTAAGAAATTTTTAAAATTAAATGAAACAAAATTAATAATAACCGGTTCATCTACAAAAAAGTCACGCGTAGAAAATTTCGGTAGTTAAATTTATAAGATGTGAAACCGACTTCCTGATAAATATTTATGTATGTATGTATTTAGAAAAATTTTTAATTTGAAACATAAATTGTCTTCTAAAAATTTAATATTTGAAGTCATTCGTGCTTCAAATACTAAATTTTTGGAAGAAAAAAAATTATAAAAATATTCAAGCTACAAACAATTTTAAAATTGTTTTGATTAAAAAAGGTATGCAAACAAAATTTATTAAAAATTAAACGATTTCAACCAAAACTTAGTTATGAAAGATAGATATTGCAATGAAATATTTTAGCAGCCAAAATTCCATAGACTGGCGGTAAAAAATGAATGTTTTTTAAGTTTAGGTTTTTTATTTATTTTTTATACAAATAAGGTTCATGCGTTAACCAAAACCATATGAATCAAACTTTCGAACTTTATAAAGAATCTAGAAAAATTCAACAAGTTTCCATTAAAGTTTTCAACTTTTAATAAGAATATTTATGACATAAATAAATTCATAAACACGTGCAAGGTTTGAACTAAAAAATCACATTAATTTTTTACATTTTTTTTTGTTGATGAAATTTGGTATTTTTTTCATATAAACATGAAATTTTTATGAAAGAAATACCGCAATACCGTTGTCGAAAAAAAATTAACAGTTTTTTTTATACAATATTAAAATTCTACGCAATTTTTATCCGCTTTAAAGCTGCACTTATTTAACTAAAATTGCCATAAGCCTTGTAACTGCATAGCTACAATTTTTATAAAAATTGTAATTGAAAAGCTCAAAATTACACAAAAAAAAAATTGGATTTTTTATAAATTGTGTATAAAGTTTGAAAGTTTAATTTATATGGTTTAGGCTAAAGCATAAACCAGTTTTTTATAAAAATTAACAAAACAATGTTTGCTTGAAAAACATTTACGTAAATATTAAAACAAAAAAGCCATTAATCCAGTTTTGACTGCCAGTGTAAAAATATGTATAATATATTATATTTGTTTAACTTCTTTTAATTTCAATATATTGAATTTTTTTAACTTTTTTTAGCTGATGCGTCTCAATATAAATTTCACATTTGTTTATCTTATTTGGAATGTTTACGGTCTTGCATACGTTTCTCCTCTAATGCAATGCATACATCCTCAACAAAGGTTTTTTTGTTAAACAACTCTAGATTCCCAACCAAAAACCTAATCGCACACAAAACTAACCACGTAATTGTCTGCTCGCCAACCTGACTGTTCTATGCATAAACAAAGCTAATAAGTACATACAAACAACCGAAAAAAACATTTTGTATTTATTCGAAATAAAATGTTCCGAAATTTTGAGATTTAGATACGCCTTACATATACATATGTATATATTTAATTAGCTGTATCTACAGAAAGATATTTAACAAATAAAAAAAAAATGCATTTGAATGTTTGCTGCATTTGATCCTTAAGCAACTTTGGTCATTATTTCCCACATATGTATGTAAGTAACTGCGTGCAATTCTCAACCGGCATATGTGCAATTTTCTTCATATAAGATATAACCAAATAGTCGATCACCACATTTTACCCTCAAACGGTGAGTTTGACAGCGTGCCTAAAATTTGTTGCATACATGTTCTCAGAAAGAATTATAATTTAAAGACTTTTAAAATACTATGTGCATTAAAATTTTGTTGATCAAAAAATTCAATTTTCGTGAAAGGATTATCGAATTTAATATACAATTTTAGCATTTATAAGACAACGTATTAGCTCTGTTTAAAAACAAAATGTTAATACAAATAGATATTTTATAAATTTATGATATACCGATCTGAACCATTTTGAAATGTTTTAAATCGAAAAAAAACACGCGCTTCTCCCCGTAATGGTCATTTCAAAAAACTCAAAGTTATTGCAAAAATTTTCTAGAACAATGTTTATACCAATTTTGGTACAGATCGGCGAAGTAATTTTTTTTTTGATAAAAGTAGGCGAAGCTAATTACACATCAGCACATTTTAATTAAATATTGATAAATTCCATACATACACACACAAATTCAAGGTCGTATTTCTATTTAAATTGCTTAACATCCAAAATTTGTATCCGATTTCATGAGACGAAAAATTTGCACAAAAACAAATTAATTTTTAGGTAAATATTTAACAACTTTTATAAAAAAAAAAAAAAATTAATTAGCGTCGGTCAAAGTTGAAAAAATTAAGAAAATTTTTTTTTAATTTCCTCCGAAATCTTCGATCTAACATTTTAAATATAAATATGTTCTGTCTATCTGGCGCAATCAACTGCAGTTACGTTATTTGTGTCATTCTATGCCCCTCAAAAAAAAAAGGAGAGAGGTTATTGGACAAGTTATCCACACAATAAAATACGTCGAAATGACGTACGTTCAAATTAAATAAAGGTACGATTGTTCCAACCTTTCCATCGCTCTGGCACATTGCTAATCGAACAGCTGACTGAGTCTGAACACTAAAAAGCGTTAGCTTTATTCAAAACTTAATTTACTCAATTAAATTTCTGTTTAAACTTAATATTATTTTTGATGTCGGTATAATTAAGGTATATGTAGCGATATATCAAGAATATATTTTCTTGACTGGAGTAATGCAATTTATTGATTTTTTTTTACTCAGGCTAATGATCTAAATCTCGAAAATTTTCTGGGAACTCACTCACTCATTACTCATTTGTAATTTAAAAAAGTGCTTTTTAATAAAAAAAAAATACTGTATAAAAAAACCATAACTCAACAAATCACAATACACAATGTTTTATTTTTTTTTTTAGTGCTGTGCTAACCCCATTCCAAGCCAATTGAACCCCTAAATGTACCTAACAATTACTAGCGCTGTAAAATCGCAGACTCCAAATATTTGCCCAAACAGTTTTGTAGTAAATGAGTAAATGAGTCTAAAAACAAGCACATTACTTGCTTATTGGCCACTTTCTTGAGCACAGCAAAACCTATACTGTTAAATCCCGCTACATTTACTTACAACATTTCTTTGGCCGTACACCTACCCGTTTAGTGACTTGAGCAATCGCCCTAATGTCCTAAGTAGTTATACATGCATACATACATATGTACATATGTAGGTACATGGCTGTTGTCTCATGAATCGCACGTTCTAGCTTTCACCATTTGCTGCATGTTTTCGACACATCTTTTTTAAATATCCCCCCCGAGTGAGCAGCATTTTTCACACGCAGCCTACATCTCCCTAATTACAAATGATTTTCCAAATCATTTTGTATATATGTATGCAATTATTATCGCCCATTTAAAAGCAAACAGAAAACATAGAAACCCTTCCAAGCCTTTTTGAAGTAACCTTACATGTAGTTAAATTACAACAACAACAACAACAAGCGCAAAGCATTCTATGCACGCAGGTAAACTAATATATGTACATAGATTGTTGGCATGCATCCTTTCCTCGTTTTGCTATCACCTACACCGTTTCCCTTCCGTCGCTCGTGAAATGTGAATGTGTTTTGTCTTTGTGAATGTATCACACAGAGCTTTCTTTAGTAGTCAGAAGTTGTTTTTGCTTAGTTGGCAGTGAATAATTTTGTATCTACTAAACGAATTTATTTAAGTTAATTTTTAAAGCCGATAAAATTTTGTTTAAAATCACTAATTTGCTTATTTGCATAAATGATATTTACACATATGTACATAGTTTTTAATACTTTTGGCACATTTCAAAAAAAAAAAAAATTATGAACCAAATCTTGCACTATTATTTATTTATACTCACTTGGCGCATGGATTTTTTGTACTTTTTGTGCGTACCGCTTATTGTAGCACTCTCTGTAAATACTGGATAATACTCAACATTTTTGTAATTAAAAAATATTTATTACTTTTCATTTAAACTTTTCTCAAACAAAATATTTACTTATTTAATAATATAGAGTTATACTATTTTGTACTATATACTAAAGTATTTTATATATTTGACTTTCTATATTGTGATAATTTTCAATATTGTGCCTACAGACTGTGCTTTTCGAAACTGAAACTATTGCTGGTAGCTATCGAAATCAAAGGTGCCGAAGAGGGTGCGGATAGCAAGATTTCCATCAATCCGCGCAATGCTAAAATACAAGCGAACACGCAAGGCTTCTTTATAGCTCAAAGCGCTGATGAAGTGAAACGGTGAGTAAAAAAACAAAAAAATTATATGTGTGCATTGGGGTGCCTCACCAAAAAAGTTGCGGCTTTTCCCGCGTGTAGCATAAGCACATCGCCCTTTATATTAGTTGATAAAAAATTATATTAAAAATAAATTGAGACAATTAAACAATGTGCAACAACGCGTGTAACTTTCCCAATAGAAATGAATCAGTGGAAAGACATCCATGACACATTATTGGAAGAAAAAATTAAAGCTAATAAATCGTATAAGTGCATAAACAAAAGTGCTCCAATATCACCAGAAACCATAACAAAGCATCTGAATATAATTTTAGAAGCTCTAAATGGCATAAGGCAGGTGATCGAATCCGTAAATAACATACTCACCGAAGAACATCAAAGAGAAGCTTACCAATTTTTCTCCGCCGTACGAGATAAACTTGTATCTTCTCTAGCTAGACACAATCTAGAATTTGATGTACCAAATACAACAAAAGAAGAAATTCAAATAGATTTTGTACTACTTCTGTCTGAAC